CTGAAACAGTGGACAAAGTGGAAACTTAGTCTTTCCCCACACATGGAGGTTTGCTGGGCTAGCTAATGTGTCATATACTACCTGCACAAGAAAACATATTGCTGGGATTAGTATACCAGGGATCTGACCAGGAAATCTATTCTATGTTTTCCCATTCTGTCCAGGCCCCTGGCTGACCTAAGGCCACTATTTTGCTGGCTCTAATTTGATCTCACTTCATATTGGAGACAATGTTTCTGATCTTTCATTTTATCTTTTTGGGAATTGGGACAGTAGCCTAAGCTTCATCAGCTCACTGCCACTGTCCCTACAAGAGCCTTCTGTTTTAATCTTTGCTTTGCTGTACTTAATTTGTTCAATGTCTTCCACTTTCTCCCTGTTAGAAATTCAATTCCTGCTTCTGCAAGTTTAAGACCTTTTATATTTCTATATAGGATCACCTCTTTTGTACTTGCCACTTTGAATTCCCCAACTAATCCTCTGAAAGAGAGTTGCAATGTGGTTGATATTCTATATAAAGTGGCACAGTTGAAACTTCTCAGTAGGCTTAGCCATCTTCACAAATAGCTACTGATTTTCTTCTCTATGGTCACAACTGTTGTTAATGCCATTTCATAGTGTCAGGGGGCCACAAAATCTTTGGCAAAATGGTATATTGATATATCCATGCCTTAAAACGACCTGACATCCACGACTTTTCCACTTTGCTCAACATTGCTTCAAGGTCTATAAAAAATTTCTGGATAGCACTTATACCTTTTAAATCACAACTGAAATTTTTTCTAGACACTTTACTGGTTTTTCTCCTAACAATGGGATTATGGTTCCTGCAATCTTAAAATAGAACTTTTCTATCACAATCCCTCTTTTCAATACTAATAGCTTTGATTTTGTCAGTTTAAACTCCATTTTTGCCCAAGCTGTTATCATTTCTAAACCCTGTAAAATCCACCAACATCCAAAAGCAGAAGATGTCAGGTCATCCATATATCCACAGAACAGAGGTTGTCATATTCAATTTTTCATCAATGGAGCCTGACATTCAACTTCTGCTGATTTAACCAACATGTTCATAGTTTGGGTGAATATCAATGAAATAGTACATTCAGTGATAATTCCTTGTAGTAGTGGTTGGTTAGTGCTACCACTAATTAGCGTATGTGTATGAGTAGTTATTAGCTCATGAAATAAGGTAGTGGAAATGGTACTTGTCCTGCTTATACTGTTGGCATCTCTCAGTTGCGTCTCTGTCTTCAGGCAGAATGCAACTCAGTTGTGTCTCTGTCACATATTTTTATTTAGTACTGCTCAGTTAATGCTCACCTGTTTATACTGAGTGCAAGTACATACTGACTGACCTAGGGATTGAACTAAAAATCACTATGTCACTAAATTCACAAGCCAATACTTTAATCCACTACGACAATTTGCTGTAGTGAACTTGGAGTTTTAAATCTAACCTGCCTGCTCATTAGAGTTGCAACTGCTGTCTATCATGTTTTGACTGCTGTACATTTTAAAAATGTAACTTATATTAAAATAGCAATTATTTTCATAGATAATTAAATATTAATTATCATACATTAAATTCTTAAAAATAAAATATTGTAGTTTAGTTTGTCATTTATCATTGGAAAGTAATGACAAAGTGGAAAATTCCTATTGTAATGTGTTTATCCTTCAAAAGAACTTCTTCAGACTCAATAATGTCTTTATTGATGGAATCCTATATCCTATATATGTTATGTAGGGATATATATATATATATATATATATATATATAAACAAAAATTCATTCTCTCCCTCCACATATCTATACAATGAAGACATAATTTAGTCTGAAAAAGTCCCTTTGTCATTCAGTTACCCAGCTTTACACTGATATATAGAATTTATATATCATATTCTAAACCTTTGTACAGAAGATTTCATGTTTAAATACATATAAAAATGGGCTCACTTCTCATGAAGTATCATATATTGTTTACCAATTACAAATTCAAGCAAAAAGCAATTATAACTTCTGGTACACGTACATTTTGTGATTTGCAGAAAGGTACATATGAGAGTGAAAATATCCAGATATCATAATTTTCAAATTAATTACTAAATTTGGAGAACCCTAGGTAAGTAGTTGTCATCTTGGAAATAGGTGTGGCCTCAATCTGCTGTCTTTTTCCAGCCCTAAGAAGGATGGAAAATGTTTTAAGAAGATGACCTCTTAACTTCTTCATACAACATGCTTGACTAGTTTCTCTGGTGGTCCCTTCTCTGGTCTGCCTCTCAAATGTCTGTTTATATCCTTTTTGACAAGACTCCCAGACTACTGGCATGAAGCTTTGTTTCACCTAACATCAAAATCTCTTTGTGTTCATTTTTTTGATTGGCCCAAATCATTTTATTTTCTAGCATCCCTTTCTTTTTTCTTTTTTTTATAGTGGAAGTTATGTGTGGAGTCTCTCTTATTTTGGTAGATTTTCAGTCACAATGGCTAAACTCTGGTCCAGCAAATTTCTACCATTTCTCAACTGAGTTCAGGTTTTTTTTCTTCTTCTTATCCTCCTTTTATTTGAGGGTTGCCTTCTTATTAGTTGGGAGAGAAGTATCGAGAGAGAAGTTTAGAGAGAAAGAGATAAGAGTTTAAAAGGAAAGTAAATGCCTTATTTTAATTCTTATTTTTAATGTTTATATATTTTATTTTACATCTGGGTTCACCACTATGCCACTAGAAGAGTGTCAGAATTCCAGTGAGTAAAAAATTAATTGATTCACAAGCAGAAGCTATTGGTAAGTTGTCATAATATTAATATCCAACTACTGGAAAACCATTAGAACTTCAATTGATATTATTCTGTTAATACACCAATGGGAAGAAGACTCAGTTTCTACTCTTCCTAATTTAAGGTGGGAAAACTCTAAATTAGGGAATAGAATACTACAGTCTCTATAAAGTTACATTGATTTAAAGCAAAAATTTTTCATAAGAGAAGAAACTAGTCTACTAACTACCAAACCACAGTAAGGTAGTTATCTACTTTCAAACATGTGCTGTATTTATTTGTATTCATCAAAAATGTGTTTATGCTCAATTTGAAAGAAATCATGAAATATTTTATAGGGTGAAAAAAGTAAAAACATTAAATATGAAAACCTGGATGAGCACATGTGGATTTAAAATCATATGCATTTATTAATTTTTTCTTCATCATTTGTCTGTAAAAAGTGATGTATCAAGTTTATTACTGTTGACTGATAAAAGTTCAAAATTTTAAGAAAATTAAATCTTTCTTTTATACCACATAAAACCATGATGCAAGCATTTTACAAGAAACAATCTTTGGCCTTTACAAAAGAGCAAATATTTAATATCATTATTAATAAACTGGTTGGCTGAGTATTAAAGTTACCTGTCAACTGTCCAAAATAATATGCTTAAATGATACCATATTATTAAAATAGTCTTTTAAAAATGCATATAAATATTTCTATTAAGGTTATAAAACTTATAAAAGCATTATTTTGGTTGACTAGACGCATTGCCTTGATTGCATAAAATAATTCTTTGTTCACTCAAGGGGAGATGAATGAAAAATCAAAGAAAGAAAAACTAATTTAATTAAAATTGTTTGTATTTGATGGATATTACTCAATATAACTTGATAAAAACTTGCTCTTGAAAAAATAAAAAGAATTGACAAAGATTCTTAATGTTTTAATTCATTATGAAAAGTTTCATAGAATTAATGTTAAAGTTATGTAAAATTTTTCAGCCTTTTTACTTATCTAGTGTATTTTTTTAAACCTAAAACTATTAGTGTGCTGTGCAGAATTAGAGAATAGATGAAATTCTTTCAACTTATCCAAAATTTACCACTTCCTCATTTATAATAAACACACTAGAAATGTATTTTAGCATTATTTTAGATAATATATATGAAAAATAAATTTGGGGAAATATATTGGGTTATTTATAATCCCTTAATAGTTACGGATTTTTTTATCTAGTTTAATTTAATCTCTTCTTGAACATTCAAATTTCAGTATAACTTAATTCACAAAAGGTACCAAGACATTGCTTCAGTTTAAAACATCTTAGTAAAATAAGAAAAAGATGTTTGCAAGTAGAAATCAAATCTTTCATGTCAGTATTGACTCAAAAGGAAAAATATGTATGAATAGAATAAATCAAGATAGATGTTTATTTATATTTAAATAGAAATGAATAAAATTAACACAAAATGAAAGGAAATAAAAATTTAAAATCTGAAAGTAATTTTTTTTTTAATTTCATGGAAAGGCGTTCTAAGGGGTGATAACTCTAGTATGCAAACACCGGTGGTTTGAGGAAGAACATAAAGCACCACCGAAGTTGTCTACAAGTAACAATACAAGGAAAAGCTGCTTTCATTATGTGCTAACAGATTTTTTTCCTGACTTTGAAAGAGTGAAAAAAATAATATGGGGAAGTATGTACGGAAAGTTATATACTGAATATTTCAGTTAATGCCTTTAGTTTCCGATTTCATCCTTACCTTTTAACCGGGACTTTGATTATTTTTTTCTTTCGTACTTTAATTTTATTTTCATTTTTACAAACAAAATGGAAACCAGTCTGGTTAGTTTTTAACTTCCTCAGTTTTAATAATACACATAAATGAAGTTTGTTCATCAGTGCTTATCGCTGATTATACCAACCTAAGACAATCAGGCTTTCTTTTTCAGTCATTTATTATCCTTGATTTTCGTTTTTCAACGTCCCTTCTCTCTTTCATTTTTTTCATTTACCTCTTTCTTCTCCATTGGCTGCTAATAGAAATACACACTTCTCTTATTCAGCACATAAAATAATTAACGGCCCACTCACAACGAGATACGAAACCCAAAAAAGGAAAGAAAAAAAAGTAGTTTTCTGTGGATTACTATAATCAACGGAGTGGATTTGAATTTTTAGTGCATAAAACCGTAACGCCACAGTCAAGAAAAAAAAAAAAATTCTCAAGATGTCTGTGACCACCGGAGACGACGAGAAGTTCAGCAAATTGTTTGTGGCCCGACTCAGCACTGATACAACAGAAGAATCGCTGAAGTTATATTTCGAGCAATTTGGTGAAGTGGCAAAATGTGTTATCGTTAAAAACCCCTCCACAAATCAGTCGAAGGGGTTTGCTTTTGTCACCTTTGCCAAACCAGAGTCATTGAACCAGGCTCAGAAGGCTCGGCCTCATACCATTGATAATCGGACCGTGGATTGCAAAAGAGCCATTCCCCAAGACGAGGCCCCCGAGAATAAAATTACCGTCAATAAAATGTTTGTGGGCGGCATGAGCGAAGACACCACAGAGGAACAAATTGTGGAGAAATTTTCACCTTACGGTAATATTGAGAAGATCGATTTAATCAAGGATAAAAGCACGGGCAAATACAAGCGTTTCTGCTTCGTTACTTTTAATGACCATGATAGTGTGGATCAATGTGTCATTCACAAACACTTCAACCTGGCTGGAAAAAAGGTAGAAGTGAAGAAAGCTGTCTCTAAGGATGAGCTTCTGGCTGCTGCAAACCGTGGAATCACTCCTTACGCCCCCCAGGGCACTCGTATGCCCACTCCCACATCATATGGACGTGGTGTTTATTCTGGTTCGAGCTATGGTTACGGAGATGGAAGCAGTGGATGGTACCAAGGGTTCGGTCCAGGAGGTAATAATAGAATTTATTCGGACGACGGATTCGGCAATAGTTTTAATTCTCCATACGGAGAAGCCTATGGTGGGGGTCCGACACGCGGCCGTGGTATTTATACCCCACGTGGAGCCGGCCCTTATGGTGGAACTTATGGTAGTCAATGGTAAACAAACCAAAAAAAAAATCTTTCATTTTGAAAAAAAAAAAAAATTGTTTTCCTTTTTTTTAATTGTTTTATTTATTTACTTTTTGTGACGAAATCAATTTTTGTCTCTGTTTAAAAAAAAATAACAAACAAAAAAAACAACAATTGTCCCTTTGCGTTTTCAGTTCAATATTTATTTTGAATGAGATGAGGTTAGCTATTTTTGTTAAGTTTTCCTTTCTGTATAATACCGTCCTGGTTGGTGTATATGGGAAGGCAAACCGGTTAAGATGAACAATTCAATTGTGTTGAAGGAGGAGAGGAAAAATAAAAATGACTAGACTAAGTATTGTGTGGGAAGCATTTAATTGAACGTGTTAGTTCATGGCGACGGATTCATTCATTATAGATGCTGATAATGATGACAAGCCAGCCACACGTTGGATCACCCTTCCTTTCTTGCTTTTGTCATAAACAACCATAATTCATGTCAGCTATCAACAGTGTTACCTACATCAATTCCCCCGCCTTTTTATGGAATTTCTTTGATTCAATATGGACTTGTTAAAAAAATATATTCCTGAGGGGGTTATTTTTTTTCCTTAAGGAAAATTATAAATTTGAAGTTGGAGAAAAAATTAAAAAAATCGCCCATATTTTTTTAATTTATACTTTTCTTGTGTAAATATCTCATTTTGAAAAAAAATTAAATTAAAAAAAAAAAAAAGGTAAAATAAAATCTTACTTTGTTATTTTTAATTTAGACTCACTTTACATTTTTTTTCGTCTTGTTATATAAACACACACCTCGCCACAAGCTTTTTTTTTATTTTAATTTTTTTTAATTTTATGATTTTCAAAACTTTATGAAGATAAGACGCTTTTCAATTCGTTTTCAGGAGTTTCATTTTTTAACTTCAAATTAATTTAAAATTTGATCGTAATTATGACTGAAAAATGGATTTTTTAAAAATTTGGTTTAACAAAAGAATAAGGTATTTTAAATAGATTTTTTTTAACTTCATTCTTTTAACCAGAAGTTTTTTATTTTCTTTATTTTAGTAATAAATAATGATTACATTCTTTCTTTATTGATTCTCAATTTCATTAATTCAAAAATTAAGTTTCTGGACTATTCAACAGAAACATGTCCAACAAAAAAAAAAAAAAATCTTGTTAGAGAGAAATTGAGACTGTACAGAAAACTACGTGATTCGTATTGAAAACTGAATATAGAAAAAAAATCACATAACTCGCTATTTGTCCCATAAGTAGTGTAAAAAAAAATATATATATATTTTTACTTTTAAATCGATTTCTTGCAAGAATTTTTTTTTTTTTTTTTTTTTTTTTTTTTTTAGAATAGATTTTAGACAAAAATAGGTGATGAAAAAATTAAAATGACCTGAAAATATTTAATCAAAGTATTAATACAAAGTAAAAAAAAAAAAAAAAAGTAAGGAAAAATACATTCTCCTTTGTCGAGTTTTGAATATCACCTTTTCTTTGTGTGTGTGTAAATTGGTTTCCTTTCCTCGCCTTATGACGAAGAGAAATGTCGTTATGACCTGGAAACCTGTATGAGGAAAACGATTGGAGTAGAATTGTGTATTCCTCAATATAGAAAACAGCCTCAAATAAACTTTCAGCTTTTCTTTATTTTGTTTTTAACTAGCTTCACACGTTTTTAGTTAACACAGAACGACTTAATGCTGCTAGAAAAGTTGTCTCAGTCACTTATTATTATCTTTTTTTTTTTTTTTTAATGTTTTATTAGTGTTTTTTTTTTTTTTTTAAGTTATGAATCTCTACCGAATAATTTTCGTCTCATAACAGTGGGGAGATGGCTACATTTTAAAATTATTTTGAAAGATGGTCCTAAATTGTTCTATTGCTGTTTTAATTTAAAATTTTCTCCTTTTTTTTATTTTTCTTTTCTTTTTTTGAGGACTTCTTGATTAGAAAACTTGTAGAAAAATTTAACAAATTTTAAGATAAAATTAAAAATTATTTTAACTTTATAATTAAGTGCCTTAAAAATGTTCTATATGTCCTAAAAATATTTTGCGTCTGGTAAAAAGAAAAAAAAAAGCGATGTTTATCTTTGAAGCAATCAAGTATCATTGCAATTTGATGCAAAGTAAAAATGAGGTGCTGAAAAGTTCTCAGCCCAACTAAGACGCTTTTTCATAAAAATAGTTGATATTTGGTCAGATTATTGGAATTGTCTGGGATGAAAACTTTTTTTTTTTTTTTTTTACATCATTTCCATCACATAAAACTAAGTTTGTTTTCCTTCAAGTCTACGATCAATCGTTATCTATCTGAATTAACCTCATCTGCACTTCCTTCTCTTGTTCATATCACACTGTTCAGTAACTCATTCTTGAGTGGCTCTTGGGCCTTGTATTGTGGGAACTTTAAAAAAGAAATTCATATAACTTCCTAATTGATTATTGACTCTCAATATTTACATTATTATTCTATGTCGATTATTCAAACAAAATCACATTTGACAACATAAAGGTAGCAATAATGCATTAGCTTAATTTTAACTTCCTGTAAAAATGTAAGTAATTATTCTGATGAGCTTCCCTCATTGGTACCTCAACTTTACAAATTTAACCACAATACTTGGCAGTTAGGATTCATCATTTTACAGTTGAAATTGCTAGAAGTAACCATAAAATTTCAATGCTAAGTTTCTTCTCTTACACTTCTCACTTTTGGATTTCCAGTCAACTTTGATCTTCAAATATTTTAATGGAATATCAGTTATCTTTCTTAATTCCTGTTCTTTTCCTTTTAATTATTTTTTTTTTATTTTTCTCATGTTCTTTCACATTCAGTAACCCATTCTTGTATTGCTTTGCTTGGGATGAAATGATTAATGAAAGAAAAAACAAGAAATAAAAGATTTATAATAATTTTTAGTAAGATCATGCTTCCTTTTATGCACACACACACGTGTGTATGCCCGCTAGTCTTGAATGCTGTCTTTAACTTTGAGGTTTAGCAGGAATTTTTATTTTGTCACTGTTTTATTATTACTGTCACCAACAACCTTACTCTTTGAGACTGTATGAAAGGAGTCTGCAACTTAGGAATGACTTAATACAGAATCACTAAATCATGAGAAAAATCTCTTCATAAACACTTGAATCTTTACACAAACTGAACACCCAGCAAGATTCAACTGATTACTTACTGATGTGACTCAGCAGAGGACTAATATACAAGAATTTTTATTTTTTATTTTTAATTTATTTATTTTCAAAGAAAGCTGATTTCAGACTTTCCTTTATTGCAGATGTTTTGTTTTTGTATGTGAAATTTTCTCTAACACTCCTCATTATCAATCAGCACTCCAGTGAAATTACTTTGGCTTTTAATTTTATGACTCACTTAGGTCATCTCGGTGGACAGGCTGCTAGTATGAGTGTTCATGCACATATTATGTTTCTTAGTTGTGTCGGCTTGATTTTAAAAATAGAAAAGTTATTTAAGTCTTTGCTAAAGTATTATATACATTTAAAGAAATATTGAGTTTCATCATACCAAAGCTTTCTATTTGTGCCAATTTACCATACATCCCCATTGTTATGATGCAACTATAACTCTTTAAGAAAGTTTCTTAGGATTAGGTGTGTGAAAGTTCCCTGTTTCTTTTTTCTTTTCTTTTTTTTTTTTTTTTTTTTTTTTAATAGACTGAATACACAGTTGAATCTCTTGCAGCTTTGCTGTACCTAATACATTTTCCAGAAGACTTCTTTGGTATTTTTCAAATAGTGAACTATCTTCATAGTTTAATACAAAGCAAGACTATTAAGGAATAGATTAAAATCATTTTACATTAAGCTTTGTTATTTGGTGTGGATTGATTTGAATTAAGTAGCATTTTTGTATACAAATCATTCTGTGTCAAGTCAACAAGATTCTGACCATCACCAACACAGATTTGCTTTTTCAATTTTGGTATATTTATAGAGCTAAGTGTTAGAAATTGAATGGTGTCTATTTTACATCTCTAGGTCAAAGGGTTCTTGAGATATGACCCTTGCCAAAAAAGGTGAATTTGGGAAAATAGTCACAAAGTTTAAATATTAATATCTCAGTTGTTTTTCACCTACAAATCTAAATTATACACCATTTTAAAAGTACTTGCCTAGTTCTAAAAGGTGAGCTATATATATATATATATATATATATATATATATATATATTTTTTTTTTTTTTTTTTTAAAGGTCAAAGAAGATAGTTTGACTTTGACCTTTAATTTCTCAAAAAATGTCTTATTTTTTAAAAATTTGACAACAAATTAGTCTGCCTTATGGCAAGATGTGTACAAAATTTTGTGATGAACTTTTGACTGGCTTGAGTAACAAAGGTTTTACTGATGTTAATGGTTAACAAAGTTTTGTTGACATTTGAGTTAGTACACAAAACAAATGTGCAAAACAATCAATTTTTTAGTTTTTGTTATATATATATATGTTTAACAATTAAAGCTAGCTCATTGTTCCTCTCTAATATCTAAACTAGGATTACTTTATTTCATTAACTTTTTTGTAAGCCAATATGTGCTGGTTATAAAAGTAATAAAAATTTTAATAAGTCAGTGTGAAAAAAAACAAAAACTGACCTCAAAAGGGCTTTAAATTGGCACCTATAAACATGGTCCTCTGAAACAAATCACTTACTCTCCAGATTGTAAAGTTATTGGTGGCTTTTCATAGTAGTTGGGATTCTTCCCCAATACAGGAAAACCAAATAGTTATGGTAAATAGTTTTTAATTTCGTATCAATTTTTTTTTTTTTTTTTTTTTTTTAATTGGTGTAATGATACAACATAATTATTTACTAATAAATTTTCTGTGAGTGAAAGTTATTTATTGAAAGACGAAGGTTTTACTGAGTTGGGCCAAATTCAAAATTGACAGATATCTCTTGGGACATTTTATAATTTTGAGGAAAAGTAAGAAAAATTAAAGGAGCAAAGAAAAGTAAACTGATTTCAACTAAAATTTCTTACCAAGAATCTACCAGTGTAAAAGGGCACAAAAGATCTGATGGAAGTGAAATTATTACGCAAAAAAAAAAGTTTGCAACTTGTGAAAAGAGGCACCAAAAAGTACAAATGTTGGCAATACTTCCAAAAAGCTGGAGTATCCAAAGAATTCAAATGGAATTTGGCATCGCAACATACATGGCAAGACAAGCCCCAAAAACTTGTAAATGAACAAGGAATATTTACAAAATACACAAAAATTTAGATTCTCACAAGAGACAATTGAAGAAGTTGTGCTGTTTTATAAGAGTGAAGAAGTCAGCAGAGTGATGCCTGGAAAAAATGACTATAAGACAGTCTTAAAGAATGATAGTTGAACAAAAGTATCTTGTACTCTGTAACCTGAAAGAGGCACACCAATTATTTAAATCAAAAATCCAAACAATTGGTTTTTCAATCTTTGCTGAACTCGGATGAAAAGAATGTATCCTAGTAGGTGGTGCTGGAACGCACTGTATTTATATTTGCATAATACATTAAAATTTGAATCTGATGATTGCGAGACTCATGGTATGCTGACTCAAGATGAACAAAATCATTTAACAGACTATCACCAATGCATAGCTGCTATTGCATGCAATAAAGCAACATCTAACTGCTACTTAGGTGATTGCTCAACTTGTAGCAATTTGATGGTGAATTTTATTTTATAGACAAGAAATTTTAAATAAAAAATTTAATAGATGATTTTTATCTTCAAACAGTGGTTATCAACTGATAGAACCACACTGAAGACTATCACAATCTACAGAAGAATTTATTTGAAACTTTTTGTACAGGTCTTGAAACCTGGAAAAATCATGATTTTATTGCTAAAAAAGTAATCAAAATTTTGTTCTAAGAAAAGTTCTTTGATGAATGGTGAAGTCACAGTTATTGCAGATTTGTTGAGAATTATTCATTTATTTTGCAGGATGTTGCACAAGCCTTCCACTGGAATAATTCTCAAGCCACATTTACATCCATTTGTTATTGCAGAAATGACGGAGCTATCAATATTATAAAACATTAAGGGATTTGTTACAGTAATCTATGATAGGAATTGGTGGTTAGGGTGTGTGCTTGAAAAATATCTTGATAATGAAGAGGTAAAATTGACTTTTTTGCAACCAAAGAGTCCTTCCCCATCTTTCTAACTATTACATCCAGATATATTAATTTTAAATCATTCTGATATTCTTACTTTAGTTGATTCAATAACTGACACTGGAAGAACTTTTGAAAATTGAGATGGAAAAAGCTTCAAATATTCTAGGAAAGAATTTCTTGAAGTAACCTTAAATAAAGATACAATTAAGATTGGTCATCACAAAAAATTTGAGTGAGAAAGTAAGTGGTTTGTATATCTAAATTTTTATTTTATATTTAAACATACATTCCAACAAGCAGAAAAATAAGTTTGCTTGTTCATCTCTTTGTAAATGTTAATCTTTTTTTAAATATTCATTTCAATGTATCACTTTTCAGATCAAAACACAATTTTTTAAAGATACCCCCCTCCAAAAAAAAACCTGAAAGTTTGATTGTTTTGTGCATTTAATGTACCATGTCAACAAAAGTTTGTTAACCATTAACATCATTAGTTACATAATTTGTTGCATATTTTCATATTATTTTAGCATTAATTCATGACACATTTTTAAATAATTATTTTCATTATGTTACTTTTTCCTATAAAAATCTTTATTGTATAATAAAAATGTAAACACAACCAAAGATAAAGTGGTTTACTTTCCATCAATATTCAACCACAAGTAAGACAAATTCTGTTGATTTTATCATAGTCCTTATGTGAATATTAATAAGAATTCAAAGAGCTTTCTAAAGATATACAACTTGACCATATTGAGCAATATGAAAATATTAGTATAAAGTGGCAAATACCAAAATCCGCCATTTTGAATTTGGCCCAACTCAGTAAAATCTTTGTAACTCAGGCTACAGTCGAAAGTCTACCACAAAATTTTGTACATATCTTGCCATAAGGCAGACTAATTTGTCAATTTTTTTTTAAAATTAGATATGTTTTTTAAAGGTCAAAGTTGTTGATTTGACATGAAATGACTCGTATAAAAAAATATAAATATGTAAAAAGGCAACAGCATAGTATAGCCAAGAAAATCTTTTTCTAAACCCATGTTCATTTCTATTGCTCTTTTTGTTACACACATGAAACATAGCAGATATACTTTTGATTGTATGTTAGTCCATAGCCTAATGAGAAAAAAAGCACGTAAATGTTTTTGTTTTTTTTTTAATAAGCAACTTACAGTTTAAACCAGTATATCAGTTTCTTCATTTTTGCACAAGAATTAGTACTTGGGTTGTGTAAATGGTCACTTCATGTTTGGAACTAATAAATAAAAAAGAAAGACATTTCAATTTAACTGAACTACTTTAATGCTTAATGTGGTAGAATTATTGATGTTCTTGAATACAGTAAAAAAATGTCTTTAGTAACTATTTTTTTGAATTTTACATTTTCTTTAATTGCTTAGTCCATTGGCTTAAGATTTAGTTAAATTTGAGTACAGTTGCTTGTAAAAATTAATCTTCCACAAGTAATTTTTTCAATATGATTGCCTTGCTTGTCAATTCACTTAATCCACTGCTTCTCAATTAATCACATAGGTCAAACATTATACAGTAAAAATTTTAGCTCAAAATTCAGGTATTATCTGTGTTAGGCTAAGAACTTATTGAATCAGCTTAGTAGGTTTATCTGTTGAATATTTTCTGTTTTTGTGCATATTTTTGAGTTTTAGGGTTCATGTCTTTGGTTTGGGTATTAAGAAAAAAATAACATGGAGCTGATTTCTTTTTTCTCTGTTAATGCACAAAATCATTTTTATTAATGAAGCCAGAACTGGTATTACTCAGAGGCAGCCTTAATGGGTGTACATAAGTTCAGAGTCCTCTTTTTTGATAACTAAAATTGAAACACATTTGAAAACTAACTTTTAGTGTTCTATCTTTTCATTTATGTTGTGTTTGAGAGAACAAAAAGATGGTGGTGGTGAAGATATGCACACAATACTGCATGATGGCAGCAGAAGCAAAGATTGATGGAGATGGTTTGGTTGTGAATCATTTGCAAAGTTGAAGCCTAAATTTGACTTAGGTGACAAGACAAAACAGCAGTAGATAGCCAGATAACTTGCAAGCTCTTGAATAATGACCCACCACCACCATTGCTTAATCAATTTTTGATTTGGCTGAAAAACTTGGTGGTGATAATTCAACAGTTGAAAAATGTTTACAAGTTTGGAGAAGATTCCAAAAACAGGAAAATGAGTTCCGCATGAATTGTCAGAGCAAAGCATTGGATAGCATCTTACAAACTGCATTTCATTTCTTGCTAGACATGCAAAAAAAAAAAGCTTCATTTTTTTTTTTGTATTTATGTGTGTGAGAGAGAGATTGTCTTTCCAAATGAGCAAATGAGAAGTGTATTCACAATGATAATCCCAACCATTGAAAATTATAGATGGTTTCAGAACAACTTGTGGCATCAACAGCAAAATATAACCTTTTTGGAAGAAGTTATAGTTTAGTGGGATATGAGAAGTATACTGTACTCTAAATTGGTGAAATTTACTGCAAATTGTTACAATTATCACCTTCAAAGTTTAATTACTGCAGTTGAAGAGAAAATGCTTGTTTACAGGACAGGGAACCTAGAGAGTATGACAACACTCATGCACAAGTTACTCCTTTGACCCCAGAAAACTATAATGGAGTTGGGATGAGAAATTCTTCATATAGTATATTCACTTGACATGGTGTTAGTGGATTGTTATTTGTTTTAACATACATTATCTAGTTCAAAAATATAAAAATTTCTTAAATATTCAACTTATTTTTTTTTGTCTGCAGGTATCTAAAAAATAAATTGGCAATTTTTGCTAACTCATTATCTTTAAGAAAATTATCAGTGCAAAAGTGGCTTACAGCCATATCACATTGGACCACTGGTTCTCGTATGATCACTAAAGTTAAACATTATCAAGCCTGGTCATTACCTAGATGGGTGACCACTTAGGAATGCCAAGTGCTGTAAGCTTGGCTGTACAGGTGGTGTAATGGAAAACAGCTTGGAATTGTTAATTGGAAAGCAGAGTTCGAATTCCAGTCAGATCTGTTATAATAATTTCCACGCAAATACCATTGGGAATGGTATGAACCTACTACATTCACCCAGCTATGAGTCAAATACTAGTGCTTGTATCAGTAAATCATTATCTCCAAAATATTCTTATAATCAAAAAAAAAAAATTTTCTGGCTTTAAATAACCTGCAAAGTGTTGATAGGCTGTAAAAAAAAAAAAAGAAATCAATCAGTACAAAAGAAAAGGATACTTGTACCACAGGGCATATAAATATTTTGTTTATATTCTATAGATGTATGCATCAAGAACAATTCTTGAAAATATATATGCTTATAGTTACTGCGTTTTCTCAAATTTGAAATCCAATATTTTCCATTTCTGTAATAAGTGTTTCACAACAAGCTTTATTTATCCAAAGAATAGAAATGGCACTCTTACATATAAGGTGCTCCCCTAAAATTGGTGGAATTTGAACAGATTGATCAATCTGTAAACTCAGTTTTGTTCATGTCTCACATATATCACTCCACCAAGGGAGAAAAAACTTATTTTCCATCATTTTTTTTGTTTTCTTTAATGAAGTTGTTTTAAATTTCTATCTCATTTTTAAGCTTTGTAATATATAACAATTAAGTAATCATTAAATTAAAAAAAAATGATAAAAATAACAGAAAACCTGATTTATTAAAAAATGTAAAATTCTTAATGTTATCTGTCAGTGTTATTTGAATTCTCTCCATGAAACTGAGTTTTAACTGTCACATCATGGATAACTACCAACTCTGATTTCAAAATAGTATTGCTTAAATGAGGCAAAGTAACCTATTTTCATAATAAATTTCTTAAAATGTATATGTGAAATCTGATATCAATTATAATTTTTTTAGTTTAACAAAAATACTTTTTTTTTTTTTTTTTAATTCATATAAATTTTCATTTGCTCTTTGAGAAGTTTATTAATTTTATATTAGAATTTTTTTAATAAATGCTCACAAGTTAAATAGAAAATTCTTTGGACAGTGAAAGATTAAATAATCATGAAGAAGTTTATTCTACTTTAAATGCAAACTTGAAGTCCATAATCATTTTAAGTGTTATTTAAAATCTGAATTGGTACCTGAAATTTTAGTATGTAAAATTTATCTTTTAATTGCTTAAATAAAATATGTGTATGATATAAGTTAAATAATTGATTTGTCATGCATATATTTGCATGTGCATAAAGTGAGACTTTTCCAGTGTATTTATACACATAGTTTCTTTCTATAATAGTGGAGTACAAATTGTGTGTGCATGTAACTTCTCTACAGTAAAACCGGTTATAATTTATCATGTGTACTAAGCTAATGAATTATAACATTTCAGTCATATTTACCAGCTTAAAAGATACATGGTTCATAACAGTATTTGGTAGACAACCACTCATTGCAACTTACCAAACCCTATATCTGTTCATTTTGAGCTTTGGTAGATGTCTTCCTTGTCATGAAGCCAGGATATTGGACACAGCTGTACTATTTGCATAGTTTACTTAAATGGGTGTGTGTCTATATATATATATATATATATATATAATGGTGAATATGGTACTTCTATTTCATAGGCTCATTCAGCTAGAACTGATAGGATATATCTAAAAATGACAACATTAATTTCATATCAATTATCAGGACAACAGTATACATTTTTTCTTATCTACAATACTGCTCTTATAATATCAGAAACAGTTTTTAGTCCCTGTTAAAAATTTTGATTTCTTTTAATATAGTTTTTTTTAATATAAGAAATTTTATAGATATTACGATTGGTTTATTATAAATTATTTTTAACAGACTAATAGGTGATTAATATATAACTCACTGAATATTAGGTTTGTTCTTTTTTTTAAATGTTTATATAAACTACATTTCTTCTGTAACCTAAATTGAAACTTGATTGCAAAAATGAATAAACACTTGAAATCACTTTGAATCATTTCATTCAAAGGATTGTTCTAGCTTATGAATGAAAAAAAATAATGACAAGACTGTTCAAACTTCTAAACTTTTGTCTATTTGGTTTTTCAAAGTCAAATAGGTTGCTTTTTTAGTTTTAAGTGTTGTGACATTTGGCATACAATGCTATAAATATACTGACTTGAACAAGTGTATTGACTTGACCTACCTACATTAATAAAGGCTTGGCAAGAAATAGTATAAATATACAGATGCAAAATTTTTATAATATATCAATATTGATCATAAAGTATTTTTCTCGGTCACTAATCCATCATTGGTAAAAGTAAGTTTAATAGGTAGCTATATCTTAATCTTTTAGTTTCTCATTAGCTGATTGTGTTATTAGTCTCAAATTTTATTTCAACTTGTTTCAGTTCAGATTTCCACTATAATTTCACTATTCAAGATAGATATAGAAATGATGTTACTTTTTTCAGTATTCAAGAAATAAAAAAAAATCTAAATCACTGACAGATGAATATTTGTGCTTGTACTTGACTACATTGGCTGAAGATCAGCTTTTATTACACATTGCTTCATATATGCATTTGGCTGAAGTCTGACTGACTGCATCTTGTCTTGGCTAAAAAGTAGACAGAGAAAAAAAAGAAATCTTTGCATAAAAACTTATCAGCCAGATGGACATTTGTAAATCCCAACACTTGCTGTCAGATTACTGTATTTATTTTCTCTGCTGCTAATAGATTTAATTAATTAAATTTATTTGAATTAAACTAATTTGTGAGTTATCTCTTAAGAGTTAAAATAACTCTTTTATCATCAGTAATCATGTTAGTTTGTAAGGTAATATATATTGGAATAGGAAAATCTATTACCATTGTTATTTTTAGCACCTGCAAAAGTCTGTAATAATTTGAACTATTTTCATTATGAATTTTGGCCTGTTTTTCTATCTTTATTGCTACTTTTTATCCCTGTGCTCAAGTTGCATTTTATTACTACACATAAGTAGCATAATTGAAAAAAATGAAAAGACAAAATTTGAACTCTGATCCCAAATCTTGAAAGTCCATCAGACATGAATGCCACACATACCAATATTGAGTAATAATATCAGGTTGTCCATGTCAGTCTTTCAGTTCATGAGATGTGAGTTCAAATCTCATTGAAAACTATTCCCAGTTCCTGATACTTATTTTAACTACTGATATTTAAAAAAAAAACAAAAAACGCAATAATAAAGCTTAAAGGAAAACTGAATTTTTAGTAATTTTGATACAGACTCCATCATAACAAGCTGAAACTTGTATGTAATGTGAAATTACCATAAAATTAAATTCAGTTTCTGTTTCTTATGTTGATAATTATCTGAATTCACTTATATTGATTTTTGTTTTTACAAACAATATTGATGCATTTAACTCATTTAAAATAATGTAAGCTAAATTTAACATCTTTTAATTTTTTACATTTTAAAAAGATGATAGCTGTCACTTTAAAGTTTAACATCTATCACTATGTTTTTTTTTTTCATCTTATAGTTAAATTCATTATTATTGGGATATTAAATTCATAAAATGGAAATAAAAAAAACGTTCTTCATTCATGGTGCACCAAATAGAAAAAGTCAAGAAATAAACTAAGAAGCCTTGCCAGTTTTTACTTTACAGCTGTCTTGCTAAACAATTTTTAAAGACAAAATCTCTGGTTCTATACATTGGACATAAATCATTTTTATATCAGAATTTTCTCTAATATTTCTTTTGACAAATGGCACAATGATTACAATAAAATTAACATTACAGGCTTCAAGCAATTTTATCAACGTCACTTTGTTGTTGTGAAAGTGCCTATTAAAATCTAATAAAAACTTAAAACTTTTCATTGTTTTAAATGAGCTTAATACATGAATATTCATTTGAAAAAGAAAAAAATATAAGTGATTAATTCATTTTTTTTTTTTCTTTTAAATGTTGTGTCCTCTAGAACAGGGGGTTATGGCTCTCTATAGATGCCTTTTCTTTATTATCTGTGAATTGCCATAACTTTTTGGAAAAAGATAATAGAGTGATTTCCCATTGCTTTCTTCATGGTTCTGAATTCAGAGTAAGCCTTTTCCTAAACATGCCACTTAGTGCTAGAGATCTCAGTCTGCTCTGCTATTTAACCCACAGCTGGGGGAGAGAAGAGACGGATTCATGTCTTTCCCAAATGCATTTGTGAAAAAGTGAATGCCACAGACAGACTAAATTGGTATTTGAACTTAGATTGTCAATTTCAGTTTGCATGCTGATAACTGTTGTGATATCCACACATCCAACTCAAATAATTAAAGACATTAGGAAAAAAATTATAACTTAATATTTCCAAGTTAATTCTACATATATAAACAGTAGAATGTTAGCCTAGTGAATATGTCACTTGCCTGCCTATTTTCAGGTCAAAAGTTTCAATTACAAAATTCACTTTATTAAATTTTAGGACCTAAATAGGTTCTGTGTCAGTAAGTGTAAGGTATGCCCATACAGTCAGGTCAAATACCTTCCCTTATGCTATTACTGAAAGTGTAAATTGAATATAACAGGCAGAATAATAATAGACATAATTATATTTTCTGTCTGAATTTCTGGGATGAGGAGTAATCTATTTAAAGTTAGACTAATGTCTTCATTATTATCATAAGTATGTTCTTGAGCTTTCTCCAGATGTCTGTTGATCTGGGTAACTCTCAGGGAAATTTGAACTGAACCCTTTATTTAATCTATGGGACTAGATTGTTCTTGTTCTGTTGTCCATGTCTAGAAATATCTTTTTTAGTACTGCTCAGTTATTGCCAGTCCAGTTTCCTGTTTGAATCTTTACTACCCAGCCCAGGGATTGAACACACAATTACTATACTGCCAAATTCACAAACCAGTACTTTAACCTTGTAGGTTATTAAATGAGGACATTAGTCTAGATGTAAATAATTATATATTTGTAAGATCCTGACAA